TTTCTTGGAGGATTTGTTCATTTCGTTTCACTCTTTTTATTCTTTTCTTGCCTTCTTATTTTATTTCATTGAATTGATCTTCAATCTCTGATATCGATTTGGCTATTGAAACTTGCATATGCTTCAAGAAGTTCTTGTGCTGTGTTTTTCAGCTCCATCAAGTTGTTTATGTTCCTCTCTAAGCTTGTTATAGTTAGCATTTCGTCTAACCTTTTTTCAAGGTTTTTAGTTTCTTTGCATTGGGTTAGAACATGTTCCTTTGGCTCAGAGAAGTTTGTTATTACTCATCTTCTGAAGCCTGCTTCTGTCAATTAGTCATTTCATTCTCCATCCTGTTTTGTTCCCTTGCTGGTGAGGAGTTGTGTTCCCTTTGCAGGGGTGAGGTGTTCTGGTCTTTGATGATTTCTTCCATCTTCTTGGATTTATCTAGTGATTTCAGGTAGCTGCTTCCCATCTTCTTGGATTTATCTAGCTTTGATTTCAGGTAGCTGCTTGGGGAGGCGACCTTTCCTTTGTCTGCCTGCAGAGGCACTGCTGGGCTGCCACGGATTCAGTGGAGCTGCTGCGTAGATTTCCTGCATCATTTTTTTACTCAGGAAGATTAGGCCCACCTCTGCAATGGTGGCTACCCTTCCCCCGCCAAGCTCGATCACTCCTGGTCATGCTCTAACTGATGTGTTGGCCACGATACTCTCAAGTGAGAGGGCTTCAGCCTACTGGGCTTTGTGGGAAAGGGATCCTCCTGGCCATATGGCCTGATTCCCTGCTTTCAGTTCCCTTTCTTTCTAGGGGGTGGGTAGGTCCATCCTGCAGGCTTTCTTGGCATCAGTCAGTGCTTCCGCCTAGATCTGTGCCAACAACCTCGGCACCCCCAGAATTCCTGCTCAGTCCTGTTCAGGCAGTTTGTGGGGGCTTTTCAGCCTGGTGAAGACGTCCTGTTCTGTGGGTTGTGGAGCGCTTGGGTGAAGCACAGTATCTGAACCAACATCCCAGAGTGGGAGAGCCCCCAATCCTCCGGTCAGTTTCATGTACTTCCTGGATGGGGCAGTGCCCCTCCGTGCCTCAACTTGCCCTCTTTGGTTTATACCTACTGTCCAATCAGACCCACAAAATGAACCTGGTGCCTCATTTGGAACTGTGGAGACCACTTGGCTTCTGCATCTCTCTCGCTGGGAACTGCGTTCCAGAGCTGCCTCTATTTGGCCATCTTGGAAACGATGACTGCTAGTTCTTTTTTTTTTTAAATTTATTTTTTATTTATTTTTATATAAAGACGAGGTTTCACCATGTTGGTCAGGCTAGTCTTGAACATCCGACCTCAGGTGATCCACCCGCCTTGGCCTCCAAAGTGCTTGGATTACAGGTGTGAGCCACCATGCCTGGCTGACTGCTAGTTCTTAACAATTCCCCATCCATGAGACGTTCCCCTCTTCAAGTGACATAGAGTGCCCAGGTGGCCCTTGGTTTAATCTGAAAAAAAACAAAAAAACAAAAAAACAAAAAAAAAACTGCTCTTCTTGTGGCTGCTGAAAATGAATAACTCCTTTTCCTCCAAAAGCAAAGTAGTTCTATTGCCTGCGACTCCCACTTGGAGAAGACCACACAGCTCCATCAAGGCAGCCGTCCTTCTCTTAATCCCCACTCCAGTGTGATCTTACACACTAACCCCAACCATCTGTCGAGACATGTCCTCAAGCACCCAGCACAGTGGTGTGTCAACATAGGCTGCCCAATCTAATTGCTGGGGCTGGGTATCTCTTACGGACTGGAGGCTGAGGGCAGGGCTGAAACTGGAGGTCTGAGAACTCCCAGTCAAATAACATCACCCCAATCATTTTTAAAAGGCCCACCTCTTAACACTATCACATTAGCAAACACCTAATATTTGGAGGATCCTCATTCAAACCATAGCAAATATGTAAAATGCTGTATTGTCTTTGAAATTAGTTAGTCTTGGCTGGGCACGGTGGCTCACACCTGTAATCCCAGCACTTTGGGAGGCCCAGGCAGGCGGATCATCTGAGGTCAGCAGTTCGAGACAAGTCTGACCAACATGGAGCAACCTTGTCTCTACTAAAAATGCAGAATTAGTGGGGCGTGGTGGCGCATGCCTGTAATCCTAGCGACTGCAGAGACTGAGGCAGAGGAATTGCTTAAAACCCAAGAGGTGGAGGTTGCGGTGAGCCAAGACCATGCCATTGTGCTCCAGCTTGGGCAACAAGAGCAAAACTCCGTCTCGAAAGAAAGAAAAAAAGAAATTAGTTAGTCTTAGTTATGTGATTTTCCATTGAAATCAGGTAAACAAATTTAAAAGATATTTTTACTAAAATTACATGGAACTAGGTGCAGTAGTTCATGCCTGTAATCCAAAGCTACCTAGGAGGCTAAGCTGGGAGGATGGCTTGAACACAGGAGGTCAAGGCTGAAGTGAGCCATGATCTCACCACTGCACTCCAGCCTGGGTGACAGAGTGAAATGCTGTCTTAAAAAAAAAAAAAATAGCATGCGACAACACGTATGCACCACAGTAACTGTAATAAAACACACAAAAGGACAATTATGTGATTCCACTTACATGAGGTATCTCGAACAGTCAAATGCCTAAATATTTAAAAAGTAAAACGGAACTCGGTGGTGGCCACTGCGCAGACCAGACTTCGCTGGTCCGTGCGCCTCGCTCCGCTTTTCCTCTGCAACCATGTCTGACAAACCCGATATGGCTGAGATCGAGAAATTCGATAAGTCGAAACTGAAGAAGACAGAAACGCAAGAGAAAAATCCACTGCCTTCCAAAGAAACGATTGAACAGGAGAAGCAAGCAGCCGAATCGTAATGAGTCATGCGCCGCCAGTATGCACTGTACATTCCACAAGCATTGCCTTCTTATTTTACTTCTTTTAGCTGTTTAACTTTGTAAGATGCAAAGAAGTTGGATCAAGTTTAAATGACTGTGCTGCCCCTTTCGCATCAAAGAACTACTGACAACGAAGGCC